CAATAATCTAGTTAGCCAGAATCATTCCATTTTCTGCCAATAATTCCTCGAAAAATCCATGGTTTTTAAAATTTTTTGAGGAAGCTTGCAAAACTTTGAGTTTTTTCGAAATTTCTCAGCATTTTAATTCAGTACATTCTGTATTCAAGAAGATATTAAGCACATGCTTAGGGTTAATTAAAAGCCGCGCCCGTTCAACGTTACGTGGTTCACACAGACAGCGCGAAAAGGTTTTTTAAAGAGAAAAAGTAAAAGAAAAATTTATTCAAATTATTTTTGTCGCCTCTCAACTCCCTTGGAATACCTCAGCTTAGTTGAGTTTGCGCTTTTTAACTTCAGAGCGGCAAACGTGAGAGGGAGTGGAGAAATTTTGTCTCTTAAATCTTATGGACAGCTTCTTTTTTGAAAAACAGATTTCTTTGGAAAATCGACTTGGCAAATTTTTAGAATTTCTACATTTCTTGTCTTCAAAAAATGTTAACGGTTTCAAGAATAAAAAATTTCTGTTTTTTTTCAATGTTAGAAACCTTACCCAGTTTGTCTTCTCTGCATCCGCACGACCACATTTTTTTAAAAGGAATATTTTTTGTTGTTAATAAAGAAAAGATCTTAAAACTTTACACTTTCTACTTTCGAAGTGGGAAAAACTGAATGAAATGGAAGACCCCTGTCTGTTCGCAAAAAATTTTTGAGGCCCTCGTTCTTTTACCACACATTTGCAGAGATAACTGAACTTGCGAGCTTTTACAAGCTTTACCTCAACATCGTTTCCTGTACTGACGTCAGCCCCATGTTCAAATACAGCCCTCTTTGCTCTAAACAATTGTGTTTGATACCGACGATGCACGGCCGATGTCTGAAAGAAAATGAAGCAAATCAAGATTTAGTCAAACTTCTTCCTTCCACCTGATGACTGTCCTATGCGCTAACAAATTTCTCTTTGATTAAGGCTGCCTTTTTCTATTTTCCTTTTTCAAGCATAAGCAGAGGTCATACATTTAACCGAGGTAGAATTATATTTTTTTTTCCTGGCAAAAAGTGCTTTCAGGAACGACGGTGTAGTAAAAGTTTTGAACAGGCGTCTCTGTTGAGCACGTAATTCAAAAACTTCTGGTAAATTTTTGCTTATTTAGCGTTGCAGTCCCCTCATTCTCAAACGTCAAACAGAGTAGTAGAAACACGACAAGCGCGACAAAATGTGCTTAACGTGCTCTCAATTTTTTCTTCAAAAATAATTAGCTGTAT